GAAAGGGAAATTAATGGGATCAGGATACATGATGTAAAAAACACATAGAACAAATATTAACATTTAAAAATAGTAAAAATAATAATATTCATTATCTAAAAAACAAAAGAAAGCAGGCTGAGAAAGCCAGTAAGCTGCACTCCTCCATGGCCTCTGCATCAGCTCCTGCCTCTAGGATCCTGCCCTGTTTGAGTTCCTGTCCTGACTTCCTTCAGTGGTGAACAGCAACGTGGAAGTTTAAGACACATAAGCCCTTTCCTCCCTAGCTTGCCTTTTGATGATAGTGTTTTGTTACAGTGACTAAGACAAGCTCTTAGGGCAGAGGCTTGGTTGCTGCTTTGTAGACCAGGCTAGCTGAATCCTGACTACACCACCTCATCATAGCAGTGCTAGAATTACGGAAGCCAACTACCCTGCCTGGTTTACATGGGTTCTGGGGAGTCAGGTCCTAATATTTTTACAACATGTGCTTTATCCATTGAAACTTCTCCCCCATTCCATTCCACTCTTTTTATCTGCCCATATAATTAAACATTTTATTCATATTATTGGTATTCCAAGATTGTAACCTCTTCATTTCCCCTTTTGTAATCTCTTGCTTCTGAAGAGTTGTCACTTTCTTCTATGACACATGGCTGTAAGCCTTTAATACTTAGGGAATGACTTGTTATTCTGCAGCATTAACTTGAGGACTGTCAAAAAACCTTGAAGATCATCTGTTCTATTAGCATCTAAAAATTATACCCAAAATGAATACAGAAACACTTTTAAGAACTTACAGTATAGGAGGAGCAGTATAATGTATGAAAGAGACATTAGAAGGGTGAAAGGGTGAAGGTCATGAGTAGCCAGGTGTTTGCAGCCATGTATGTGGGCAGGATCAGTAGAGTTGCCTTGCTCATGGGCACTGATGGATGGATGCTTTCAGGATGCAGAGGCAGCCATTAGTGAATACAAACTACTACACATACATGGCTCTAGTAAAGGCAAGTTAACCTTCATCATCCCGGTACTCATTTTGATAAAACAGTGATGTGATAGTCTTTCTCAAACATAGTATCATAATTTAATGTGTTAGGAAACATTTGACAGATGAAAAAAAAAAAGCTAAAATAAAAAATGACTTATTTCAGCTTTCCAGAACATCTGCTTACCAGAATTTACTCATTGTGTGAGCCTGAAGAATGGATGAGGCTTCATTAAAGGAAGCTGGAAGAAAAGCTGAGCTCTATTCTGGAGGGATAAATCAGTGTCCCTCATCCTGATGAGCAAGCACTTAATTCTGTGCACCTGACAGATGCTCAGCTTAGCATTGACTCCAGGGGTCCACAGAGGTGGGGAGTTACAGGCCTGGTGTTCAATTTCCTGCAGATGCTTCTGGGCAACAGGTAAAGCTATCAGCTGTGAATGGTGGTTATGGCACATGGAAATACAGCTTTTGTTCTAAAGGTCTGCCTTGTGAGAGGAAAATCTGTATGCTGAAGAATAAAATCACCCCAGTGAAGACAGGAAAATGGAATGCCAAATGACTTCTCATTGTCCAAACTACAAAATGTTGCCATGCAACAATATTCCTAAAGCAAAGCTGCAAGCAAGATAAACTTGAAATCTACAAAATACTGTTGAAATTTAGACACGGAAATGAGTCCAAGGCCAAGAAGATAAATAACTGCTGTTCCTAATATCATCTGTAATGGCATTACTACTATATTATTTTAAAGTGTTCTAATTAGCCATCTGTTGTTTTCACCATGTGGGATATAGTTGACAAAGACATTGAGATAGTGGTCATTTCGTTGCTGGTGACCTTCTCTGCTCTACCTGGATCATCATCTTCCTCCCATCTAAAAGATTCCATATAACATTTTTTCCAAAGCAGGTCTGCTGGTGACACATTAAAAACACCCCATCTCATTGAAAAGTCTTCTCTGCTAAAAGATATCTTTGCTGGATATAGAATGCTAGCTTGACAGAATTCTTTTCAGGTATTTTAAAGATGCTGCTCTGTTGTTTTGTGGATTATCTTATTTATGTCCAATGGAATTCACTTTCATCTTTATTCTTTCATATATAATGTGTTGTTTAACCTTGAAGGAGCAAGAATGGGTTTGAACTCTCTGACCTAAAGTCAAGATGGAAAGGAGTCAATAATGATGGACTCAGACACTAGAACCCATGTAAAGCCAGGCCTGGTAATGTGTTGCAGTCACAGTGCTCTCACATGGAGGTAGGAGGCATGGACAGGAGCATCTTCAGAGGCTGGTACACCAGCTAGGTTGATGTACATACACAGCAGGAAAACAAATCGTTGTGTCTAGCAAGGTGGAAGGCAGTGACTGACACCAATATAAACATGTGCTGTGGTGTATATGTCTGCACATACACTCATCATACATACAAACACATACAAAGATAAAAGTGAACATGCTTTTAAAATAAGTCAAGGAGCATCTTTCTATACTGAATGTTTTGATCAGGCCTCTTTGAAAACGAACTATTTAAGATGAATAAAGGAGGCTGTGATAGATGCTTGGGAAAACTTTAAGAGCATGCTAGAGTAGATTCATCTCAGAATATGAGGCATCCATAGATGAGTTCTGAACAGCCAGCAGTCATACTGGCTACACAGTGAACTGTACATTTCAAAGTACAGTGACAGTGGGTGCAGCTGCACTACACAAAGCTATTACAAGTCTTTTGTAAGCATGGCAATGGTGATCTGGAGTTGTTTGTTCCAGCTATTCTCTAGGGTGTTGTAGCATGACAGAAGCCATAGATAATACAAGAACTCACTAGTATGACAGTTCCTATCAAACTTCACAGAAGCAGGTGGTATCATTTGTTCTTTGAATTGGATTAGAATATATTTTAAATATATTTGGGGAGTATTAAGAGTGGGTATTAAGAGCGGGTTTTCCAGCCTGGTCCCGCGGCCGCGCCAGCCCCAAATAACACACAGTGATGCTGTATTAGATATAAAGCTGTTGGCCTGTTACTAGCATTTCTTATTGGCTGGCTCTGTCTTAAATATTAACCCATTTCTATTAATCTAAGTATTTCCACGTGGTCTTATTTTACCGGAGGGCCCAGAGTTCTACCCTGTTGGTCCTACATCTTGAAACTCTTTCCTACTACTTCCTGAATCCTCCTTGTCTTGTAGTCCTGCCTATCTTGCTTTCCTATTGGCCAACAGTGCTTTATTCATTAACCAATAAGAGAAACATATTTATAGAATGACATCTCCCATTGGGATATAGTAAACTATATGGGATATGGTAAACTACTCCGTTGGGACTGGAGTAGAGAGTCAAGTACGGATAGTGCAGTGAATGAGTGAGACATCTCAAATGCATTAATCCGAAATAGGAAATACTAAGTTTCAGCATTTTCTCTTCTCTTTAATCTATATGAGAAAATATTATAAAATACTTTTATTCTTTTATATATGTGTAAAACACTAAAAATTATCAGAAACCAGTAAATAATGACATTGACAGGAGGAAAATTTATATATATGAGAAAAATATACACTTGATATATATGAATAATTGAATATATGAGAAAATGCACACCATATACGTATATACATATATATATATATATGCACACATGAAAGAGAGAGAGGATATTGTGCATGGAGAGATGACCTCGAAAGTCTGATTTTTCTTCCCTCACATCCTAGGTGCTGGAATTATAGACATGTACCACCAAACCTAGTTCATACAATGTTTGGGAGCCATCTCAGGGCTTCATCTAAGCAAGCACTGAGTCACATCCACAACACAGGAAAATATTTAAAAAAAAATTATGGCTCGGTTGTTTCATGAATGTGAGGACCAGGGTTTGGATCAAAAGTATTGTAAAAGGTGTGGCAGTCCTGTGTAATCCCATCACAAGGGAAGTAGAAAAGAGACACCCCCCCCCTCAGGAAGCTGGCTAGCCAGCCTAGCTGAAACACTGATAAGCCTTCCCTCTACACAATATGGTAGAGAGAGATGAAAGAAGACTCATCATATTAACCTTAGACCTCCACATACATACAGGTGCACCCATGGTCCATGTGCACTCGCACATATATACACAAAATGCATATATTTATGTTACACAGCCATACACAACACATATGAATGTTTTTAAATATTAAAGACAAAATGTGCAGTATCTCAAGCTTCTATTGGCTTATTGTCAGTGTGTCATTTTTTTTCCTCTAAAAGTAATACCCCTGACCTTTGCCTCATCTGCTACCATGTTGGGATTACTAGAGAATATACAGGTTATAAGAAATTAAATGCATATTGTCATCATATGTCAGTGGTACCGGAAGAGGAGGTGCAGGTGCAACTAAGTAGGTCTGCCTTCTGTAATCCCACAGGACTTGCCCCACCCCCACTGCCTGAGCCAAAAGAGGCCCTGCTTCAAATGGTTCCCTTACTTATGTTAGTATGCCACCAGGGTAATCCTATTTTGGTTGTTTTGGGATAATCCTTTTGTACACTGTGAGAATGTGTCTTTGCCAAGATTTGCCTTCTGATTGATAGAAACAGGTTAATTTAGTTTTTAAGAGCTAGTTGGAAATAAGCCTAAAGTAAGGCCAAGCTTTCATAATTAATAAGAAGTCTCCATGGTATTATTTGGGGGGTTTCTATTAATCTATGTTCTGTCAGTTTCTGTTAGTTTTTGTTGATCTATGTTCTGATAGATGGCTTTTCATCTCTCCTCCCTTCAGTATATCTGATTTGCTCCATATCTTGCTGGCTTCTCTTGCTGCCTAGATTCTAACCCTGCATTCCTCTGTCTCCTGGGAAGTCCTGCCTATCCTTTCCTGCCTAGCTATTGGCCATTCATTTCATTATTAAACCAATCAGAAGGCACCTTGGGAAAGACACACCTTCACAGTATTAAAAGAGATTATCCCACAACATTTGACTTTATTTTCACATCATTGAACTTAGGGTTTCATATCTGATGAATTCTTTATGACCTGTTGGTTGGTTTTCCAGGCTTTGCTCTCAGTACATGATACTGTAGCTCAAAAGAGTTACGATCCTGTGTTGCCTCCTATGCCCGATGATATCGATGACGAGGAAGACTCAGTGAAAATAATCCGCCTGGTCAAGAACAGAGAACCCCTGGTGAGTCTGATCTATGGTGTGCTGTCAGATGTGAGCAGATCTTGTGGGCAGCTCAGTGGGATGGGTTTCCAGCACTCACACTTGTCTTTGAGATATGCTGCTTCTGGGTCCCGACACCTTAAAACAAAGGGACATTTACATCCAGAGAATATGGCTGAGAACAACTAACAAAACTCCAAGTGAAGTAATAGCATCCCATTGTTTTTTTAATAATAATAACCTTGAAAATATAACCCACTAACATTTGTAAGAGGAAATTTAACATTTGCCAGGTGGGGCTGGTTGGAAATTAAATGATGCAGTTGAAAAATAGTGCTGTAGGCTGTTCGGAAAGCTGATTTATTTTAAAACAATGAAGAGAAATTAGCCTGACACCTAAAAGTTCACTATATAAATAGATGTTTGTTTTGGCACTGGAATTCCTGTGATGTTTGACCACATCAAGGGGCATGGGACTGGGGGAATATTGTCCCATTTGCAACCAAGGAAGTCCTGCCCTAATCCTCAACCTCTAAGTGGACTTTCCATGATTCTGCTACGGATCTCAGGCAGAAAAACTCCTAGCTTATCCAAAGAGATATTTTGTACTTCCCTCCCTTCCCCCTCTCCCCACCGTGTGTGTGTGTGTGTGTGTGTGTGTGTGTGTGTGTGTGTGTGTGTGTGTGTGCGCGTGCGCACGCCTGGGTCCTGTGGAATAGCAGCCCATGCTCTTAACCACTGAGCTGTCTCTCCAGTCCCCATCATAGGATATTATACGGATAAAATAAAGTGAGTAAGTATTCGGAAAGTAAAGCAATACTAGGTGGATAGTTTAAAGAAAAATAGTTTTGCATGAACTGAAAGATATAAGATTTCCTCAATCTTTAAATTGTGCTGAAACACTAGATGCTATGTAGCCTGAATTTTGGTACAGTGTGAGCATCCAGAGGACAGTTGACATGTCTGTTCCTCCTACCTTGTTCTTTCTCTTTGTAGTAGTTTCTGGTTTTTCCAGATAAAGGTTATTTTACATCTCTATCTTATGACACAGTTTGAAAATGTGCCTACAAATGCTTTTTTCCTCTCCCACTTTTTTTTCTTGTCTTGAAAGGGTGCTACCATTAAGAAGGATGAACAGACGGGGGCAATCATTGTGGCCCGGATCATGCGGGGAGGAGCTGCAGACAGAAGTGGTGAGTCTCTGTATTCATTGAGTAAGGACAGATTGTATAGTGTTCTGTGAGTAACAGTTCAAGTGAGTAATTAAGTGGCTAACAGTCTTTTGGTACAATATAACAGAACCAGGAACAAGACATTTTTCACTGTGTTGAAATGTAGACACCATACAAATAAATGATAGATGGCTCTCCCTCTGTGGTCTTAGCTTACACAGGCTTCCGAAGATGCTTGATCCCTCCCCACTCCACCCATATGGCTTTGGCTGTGCTAGTCAAGTGTTATACCACAGAGATACTACCCATCCTATAGAGTTATAGTATGATTTAGTGTTTCTGGTGTGAAAAAATACATACTACTAAGAGCATAAAAATTTAAAAATAAAGTTACACATTATTTTAGATTCTGGGAGAATAGCTCATTTGGAAAAGCGTTTGATATACAAGTGTGAGGACCAAGTTTAATCCAAAGCATCCATATTGAAATCCAGATGTGGTGGTATGTGCTTATCATCACAGTTCTAAGGAGTTAAGAGTCCACAGGCCAATCAGTGTAAGCATATCTTGGTACACTCCACACCAGCAGGAGACTATTCTCAACAACAAGGTAGTTCACACTTGAGGGAATGATGCCACATTTGACCACTGGCTTTTAAACATACTTGCATACATGATACACATGGCATGTACACGCTCATACCAAACAAAAGTAATAAGTAAACAATAAAAATGAATTATTTTTTAAGGCATCAGTAATGTGCATTTCTAGATAAGAGACCAAGATACTGTTATGTGATTTGCTATCTCCATCATAAGAGAATTGCAGAACTAAAGCACACGAGTTGGGAAGAAGGTCTCTTTTGTGATAGTTAAGTAACTTTGAGGAATGACTGACACTTGAATGTTGGGAACAGTCACAGACCACAGTGTCATTACGGGGTTTTGTATTTGTCAGGTCTTATTCACGTGGGTGACGAGCTGAGGGAAGTGAATGGGATCCCAGTGGAAGACAAGAGGCCTGAGGAAATCATACAGATTTTGGTAAGCTGCCACTTTATTGTAAATCTCAGTGGAAATCATACAGATTTTGGTAAGCTGCAACGTTGTGAATCTCAGTGAACATCAACTTGCTGTGCTTTAGGTTTCTCAGTCTGATTTGGATTCAGCCCTCTGTGGGCACATGCATAGAAACACTTTTGTCCATGTAGCTTCAAGATTTCCATTTACATGAATGTAGGAGGAAGTAACTATCTGCTGATGTGTTTTGAGGGTCAGATGAGGTTATAATATTTGCAGGGTTTCAGGTCAGTACAGTGCTGTTGGTGAGCCTCTTGCCTCTGCCCCCCTCTCATTAGTGCTAAAACTTGAGTGAAATTGTTTTAGGCATGGGAATTGCTAAGTGTTAAGTTCAGGTATAAGGATAAAATGGAGACTGCCCATTCATATGTGAACATACAAACCTACAACAGTAAGACAGTTCCCTGAGTGCCTCTAAACAGCTGTCTTCATAAATACCCATTAATAAGAGGTCTGAGATAATGAGCAAGTGCCTGTGGGTCATGAAATTATGGTTTCAGTTAAATTTGAGTAGACATTCTGTCTTTAAATGGACTTGTTGTACGTGATGTTTATCCCACTACTAGAATAAAACTGGCCAGGCTGTGCCTAGTTGCTTTTCCTGATGCACATTGATGCCCAATGAATCCCATCTTCATAACCACAGAAACGACGACAGCATCTGGTAGCAGCATTTTACTTTACCAAATACAGATACCAACACTTAAATGCCAGGTTCTTGACTTTGTGTTATGTACTCTAGGCATTGACTCTTATTCGAATTGTGTTTCTGTTTTGCTGTAACTTAGCATGGATGGCAGTCGATGTCTTGATGCCTTAAGTGCACAGGATGTAAAAGTGTAAAAATGGTCTTCAGATGACCTCACATACTGCAGAGCTTTTCTGTGTTTCCGGAATTTTTACAAACATACTTTTTTGGTTTCATCCGAGTAGAATGCTATGTGTTCCTAGCTGTGTTTAGCTCTCTGCCTGTCTGTTTTACATTCCTCTTGTCTCCATCTCTCTCATGACCCTTTCTTTGATCCCAGAGTCAGTCCCAGGGAGCAATTACATTTAAGATAATACCCAGTGCCAAAGAGGAGACAGCTTCCAAGGAAGGCAAGGTAAGTCTCCAAAATACTGTTTGTGATGTGGGACTTAACCTCATTTTTTTCAACAATACATATCAGCTTTGACAATGACCATTCCTATGTCTAAGTTGCAAGAATGCAGACAGCCTCACCCCTCCTGTGTTTTTCTTCCCTTCCAGGTGTTTATCAAAGCCCTTTTTGACTATGACCCAAAGGAGGACAAGGCCATCCCTTGTAAGGAGGCAGGGCTGTCTTTCCGAAAGGGAGACATTCTTCAAATCATGAGCCAAGATGATGTGACGTGGTGGCAGGCAAAACACGAGGGTGATGCCAACCCCAGAGCAGGCCTGATTCCCTCCAAGCACTTCCAGGAACGGTGAGCCGCTCGCTGGCACAGCACAGTGACCTTTCCTCAAGTGACTTTCCGTTCCCTGCAGAGTATCATGCTAGCACCGTTATGATAAAATGAGCTTCAGACCCTGCCTGCGAATCTGTTATCCCTCGAGTTTGGATTTGGAGTTCTGTTTTGTCTAACTATGAATAATAACCAAAAGTAATATGACAGTACCAGGTCCTCTTGGGTTATTGTTGTGAAACAGGCAGAAACTAGCATGCTACTATCGAGTGTGTGCTACAGGGAGAGCACGTAGTCATTTCAGGAAAGAGGGATAACTTTAAAACCCGAAAAGTGCCGGATTTAGTTTGTTTGAACAGATCATCTTGTGTTCCTTTAAGATCTTCCTTATGGATTTTATATTTTGGTGCTGTGTTAACCTTGAACCTATGCTGAAAGTTGATAGGCCCATTGACCTTTTCTTTCCCCAGGAGATTGGCTCTGAGACGACCAGAAATAGTAGTCCAACCTCTGAAACTTTCCAACAGGAAATCATGTAAGTTTGTTAATAAGAATGCACAGAAACCTGATCCTGCTGTTGGTTTTTGACTGCTAAAGCAGGTGCTCCAGGGAGGTGCTCCAGGAGGAGGGGTCATATTAGCCTTCAGTAGCTCTTGGGCCATCATTTCTCAGAAAACTAACAAAGGAGTAATTCACAGTAGGGATAATAATGTGAATCTTTGCAAGAAAGAAAATATGATAGCGTGTTGACTGTGACGTGCCACTCACTGTCTAAGACAGTCATCAGTGACTTCCACTCTTAAGGACTGAACAAATAGAGCCTGTAGCACAACTCTGGGTTTTGTTTTGTTTTGTTTATTTGTTTGTTTGTTTGCTTTGTTTGTTTTTACCCAAGCCAGGAGGTTTGGGGTAAATATTTCTCAGTAAAAATTAGGGACAAACAAAATAAAACTAACGTTTTCCCAGGCACAAAAGCTTTTGCATCTAAGAACAACCATGCTTCATAATCCTTATCTACAAATCACAACTGGGACTTTGATCCCATCTGCAAAGAGTTGACAGGCCAAAATGAGAGGAAGAAGGATTTCATAGAACTACTGAAAAAGAGAGGGCTTGGACATTCCTTTTTTCAGTTTATCCTTTCTTCACCATTTACTCCCTGCTTTTCACCCTCTCAGATCTCCATCTTATATTCACCTCTCTAAATGTGTCTGGACATTTTAAGACACACACACACACACACACACACACACACACACAGAGAGAGAGAGAGAGAGAGAGAGAGAGAGAGAGAAACAGACTCCCCCCTTTAAAAAAATAGAGATTGCATGTTAAAAAGTGAAATGAACAAATAAATGGCCCTGAAATTTTATACCAACATCTGTTTTTAGTATTGTTGCATTTTTCACATCTCCTGTTATTTCCTTTAGTTTGCAGACACATACAGCTCAGGAATCACGTAGTAAGAAAGCCAAGCTACAGCTAAGTGTAAATCTCACAGCAAGCCAGGATGGGCATGCACCACTGAATCAAAAGCCTGCTTGCTCTCCCTGTGTCTGGTTGGGAATAAGACACTCTTGTGATGCATGTGGAGTTCTGTAGTGTCAAAAGGCCTAAGGCTTAATGGCGCATTGTTCCTAAGTGTGGTAACTTTTCGCTGTTAGCTCCTCCAGCTTTCAGGAACTGAACCTGGACATTGGATGGGGGTTTGCACAGTTAGAATGTATTTGGTACTTGTTAGATGAACTATGCCACTAAACAAAGGAGGGAAATGAGACTACACTAAAATTTGAAAATGTACTCAGCTTTGAACTATAGGAAACTAGAAACAGATCATTTGAAGTAATTGGGAATTTTTTCTTATTTTGAAAATAAGCCAATTCACTGTAAGTTTCCTTAAAGAACTATGAAGAAGTGATAGCTTTTTAATTGCTCTCTCAACTTGGTATAGGTGTGTGTGGATTTGAGGGTGTGTGGGTGTGAAGGGAGAGTGTTGGTGTGAACATGAATTGTAATGGAGGCTTATTCATTATTTGTCATCATTTCATTTGTGTGTTAATATTTAAATATTTGGATCTGGTATTTATTCCAAAGGTATCTTTACCAAATCATCATCTGAATTTGTTTGGTTGGTTGATTTTGTTTTACCTCTTGAGTTCCATTCCAGTACTCAGGGAGCATCACTGTGGTAGAGTGCTTGCCCAGCACAGCCTGGGCTTCCAGTCCCAGCACTGCAAAATGAGAGAGAGACACATGTGAGCTTACTGGCCCTTCCTGCTCGCTCTTCTCTTCCTTCTTCCCCCTCCCCTGTTACTTCTTGGACTCTTGGTTCTTGGGTTTTTGAGACAAGGTCTTGAGTGAGTCCCAGTGTATCATCAACCTTGTGAGCTCTCTGTCTCAGCTTCCCCAGGGCTGAAATTAAAGCCGGTGCTTCTGAATTTCCCTTTTTATACCTTAATTTTTATTCACTAAGAGATGCTACGTGCCTATTTATAGTTCAAGTAAATCTGCCCAAGATTACCCAATCAAATCACGAGTGCATTTAAAAACAGCACTGCTCAGAGAGAGAGAGAGTGGGTTTCTGTGAAACTTGAAAGCCATTCTCTGTCATTCTCGGAGATTGAAGTTTTGTTTGGAATTCCTGTGACAGTTGTCTACAGAAATGGTTGTGTTAGCTCTGTATATTTGCAGTAACATTTAAACACATGTTAACCTATGTATTATTCTTTTTTCTTTATTCTTTATTCTTTTTGTCTGTGTAGCATTTTTCTTTGTAAGGACTGCCTGACTCAACTGCTAAGTAGAGTTTTAGAACAAGAAACCCTCATTGTCACAACCTTTTCCATATTATAGGACAGTTCCAGGAAGAAAAATACAAGGTTAATATTATTGATGTCCAATAATTGAAAGAAAGTAATTGGTGGGGCTGGGGAGACAGTTCAGTGGTTATGAGCATGCGCTGCTGTTGCAGAGGACCAGATTTGGTTCTGAGCACCTACATCATGAAACTCACAACTGCCTCTTACTCTAGCATCAGGGGATCCAACACCTCCTTCTGACCTCCTTGGGCACCTACATACATATACACAGACCTACACATATATAGTAATAGATCTTTTTTAAAAAAGGAATCTTAGAAGTAGTGATTTATAATTTTTATGGGAAAAATACAATAATGAAACATTTTTTTTCAAGACAGGTTTTTCTGTAGCTTTGGAACCTGGCCTGGAAATTGCTCTGTAGGCCAGGCTAGCCTGGAACTCACAGAGATCCACCTGCCTTTGCCCCTGCAAGTGCTGGGATTAAAGGTGTGTGCCACCACACGTTTATGTGGCCTAGGCTGGCTTTGAACTCTCTGTGCACCCAAGAATAACCTTGAATTCCTGATCTTCCTGTATCTACTTCCTGAGTGCTGGTATTACAGGTGTCCAGTACCACATAAATAATTTATAAAATGCTGGAATGGAACTCAGGCTGTTTTGTATATTATAAAACTCTTTACCAACTGAGCTGTATCCACAGTTCCTAGAATGTTTGAACTAAAATTTAAGTATACTTCAGATCCAGGGAAGTACAGCATGCAATCACTTTGAAGTACTAAATGTCACCATGTAATAATACATTAAATCAACTTCCCCATGTAATAACACATTAAATCACTTAGTTACCTCTTATCACAATGGAATTATTTGTGTCTGTGTAATTTGACTTCTTGTTTGATTCATAAGTGCCTCATAACAACTGGAAAAAGAGTGCATAGAAGATAATTCTAGAACCCTATAGTGTCTCTGTTAATTTTAACAACGAACACAAAGGAAAACAAATTGGAGTCACATTATGTTTGCGTTTGTCTTCGTGCTAGCATTCTTGTTCTTTACTCCAATGAAAATGAAACCAAGAAGCATCAGCTAATGAGCTCTCCAGACTTTGAAGCTAGCATTTCTGTGCAAAGCTCCGAGTATATGTGTGGGTGGCGTTCGTCCTTGATGGTGGATCCATAGTTCTCCTTAAGGACTAAGAAATCTCGATATGTATCCAGGAAGCAGGCTTCTCAAACAAGAGTGTTTGCTTCTTAAATAGCCCTGAAAGCTAAGACAGAACTCTTACAGTGAAAGCGTTCTTGAACCTTAGGACCTTGGTACAGGGATCCATCCCCTCTTCTCTCTCTGCCCATATCCCCATTTTGAAAAATTGATTATACAGCAAAAAGCAAAACTATACTAGAAGAAATTTCCCACTGTTTTCACATGGAGGCCCTGTACTGGTGACACAGACAGAAGGACAGAGAGGTAGGTGTCTGGTAGTTCTCCTTTGATAATGGCCAGCTTTGGGTTCTTACAGCAAAAAGGCAGCTGTGTAAGTCCTGGATATGGGCTAGTGTTTCCAGTAGCACATGGGAGTGGTTGATGCTGAGGACTTGGCAGCGTGTAATTCTTATGTTGCCATAATTTATTTTGTGCCTCATTTGCATGCATAAGAACATTATATGTACCCCATTTGCTCACATGCACACTGTACGCTGTTGTTGGAACCCAGGACCTTGTGTGTGGTAGCCAATTGTTATGCCATGAGCTGTATCCTAGAACTTCAACTAGCTTGTAAGAAAGACATATACATTTCTCAACTTGAAATATTATTCCTCTTCTGTTGAAACACAGGCAGGTTAGCTAAGTATGATCTTCCTAATTGTATCCAGATATATTCTATATTTAAATCCAGTATTTATGACCTTCAGAAAGGATGGAAAGGGAAACCTCTTTTTCACATAGATTATTTTACAGCAGAATATCCAAGCATAATTTCTATTTCTAGTACTTAATTTTCCTTTTCAGTTATCAAAGTATAAATACCTCAACATTTCTCATACAGCAGACTGAATAATGTTAATTTAAATTCTTTACTTTAAAAATAGCTCTGTGGAATTCTTGGCATTAGATGAGTGAATGTGCAAAATTTGTGATGTTTGAAAACATAAAATCACAAAACATTTCAATTTAACAAATTGTGATTTGGGACTTGTAGACAAATGGAAATACTTAAATTCAGACAAAGAGCACCCATCAAAAGCTGGTAGGACTTGCTCATTATGGATAGACAGACATGACAGCCAGTGAAAGAGTTCTGACATTTGAGTAAAACAATGCCATTTCTCTGAGGTGCCAATATTTAAGGCCACATTGTCAGATCCCACATGTTGTTGTAATAAGGTATTTCTTGTTGAGTACATGCCACCTTTGGTGTATTTAGTGTTTTCACAGGTTGTATCAACTTAGAAACAGATTGTTTATGCTGTTGAATATTTTTGTATAACTAAAACTTTGTCGTGCATTTTCTTAATGTTGGTAGCATCTGCCATGAACAGAAACACGTGGAATTTCCTGTCATGGGCTAGAAAGTTTAGTCAGCAGTTGAGTGTTATTGCTCTTGCAGAGACTTCAGTATCCACACCTGTCAGAAAGCTCACAATGGCCCATATCTCCAGCTCCCAGGACATCTGACATCGGTGACCTCCTTAGACACCTGCATTCATGTACC